TTCACAATGTCTCCTTCCTGTCTCCCTCTGGGCGCTCTAGTATGCCTATACATTGCACATGTCATTTTCTTTTCCTATCCTCTTTATGTCAAGAGTTCTCAAATTTCCTTGAAACTAGAAATCATGTGCATGTTTGTCAATAAATGCAGCTACCACACTCCTCCTTGGGTCCGATTATAGGGTTGGGAGATGGCTATAGGAAGCTGTGTAATTGGCTGCACATTCATCCTCATTGAGTTTGTTTAGATAACCCTTTGTCCCCTACTCCACCTTTGTCATGTAATTCAGTCACTCCTTCATCTTGCAAGGCTTTTTGGAAGGTCTAGGTACAGTTCATCCTCCAGAACATCAGACATCTCTGTCGCTACTTATGTTTCATATTACTACTACCCAGGTCCTATTATAATTTACTTGACTCCACCCTTCATTTCTCTTGCCACACTCCACCCCTGCCTTACCTTCTATATCTACAAAAGTAAAGTCAGTTCTTGGGTAAACTCAGCAAGTGATTTGAACATCTCCAACATTCTATATCTGATAAAGAATTAAATAGACCATAATCTGCAACTACATGGAACTTGAAATGTCTAAGATGGAATGTCTTTGTTTGGCATTTTAAAATCTTTCAAATTTTGGCTCAACATTCCTTTTCCTTACTATTATTCTGCACCCAGTCCACTTAGGTCCTTTGCAGAGCTCTTTCTTTTACTTGGAATGTTCATTCTTCTTCTGTGGCTAGCTCATTTCTACTTTTCTACTGTCACTAATCTTTTGTTTAGGAAATTTTATTTTTTCCTTAACAAGACTCAATCTTGCTGGTTTTATATGCATTTTACAAAGATTTGTCCTGGGGTCAATTTTGCATTTTTAAAATGTTATTACTGGTTGGTTGTATTCCCCTCTAATTTTTATACTCTCCCTGAAATCTGATATGGCCCTTTTTATTGACTGTTGTGTTAAAATTTTCTTGAGTCTATTTTTTAGATATTAAATAAAATTCACTGAATAGGTTACTGAAAATGCCCTCTTTTAGAGTCTTTTATGCACTTGCCTAAGTGACTTTACCACAGGTTCCTGTACTTCCTGTACCTACTTCTTCCTTCCATCCTTCCTTCCTTCCTTCATTCTGTCCTACTGTACTTCCGTACTTCCTTCCTTTTCTTTGCAATCTTGTGTTATTCCCTCTGCTCTGGAATGTCTTCTGCCACATCCTTACAAATTATCTCTCTACCCATCATCGTGTGTATAAATAGCATCATCCCTGCAAGTCTTGCCTTCATTCTTCTGCTATGACTCTCAAATGCGTTCATTGAATTATCTCTTTTAAAAGTTTGGTTATTTACAAAGTTTATTATTGTTATTCTTATGACTATTTCATCATTCACTAGGTTAGGCTATGTTGTTATAATCTGATGTTGTATTCATTGTACATTATTCTTTATTTGTGAAATTTAAATTTTTCTTTATTTCCAATGAGGGTAGAGTCATTGTTCTTAGGTGTTAGAACGGAGAAATGATCACAACCTAACCATCTAAAAAATAATGTCACTCTGCACAGGAGGGGCTGTGAACAGAGGAGGAGCACAGAAAAACACACTAAGTAGAATGGTTAGTAACAGCTCAAATTCAGAAAGCCAATAAAACAAAGAAAAAAACCCCAAACAAAAAACCCAACAACAAAACATCATCACTAGCAGAAAATATGAATGAGTCATGGTACGGTCATCATCACCACAGTGAAAATCAGTCAACCACAGCCACA